TTCTCCAGTTCACATAACAGGGCCCAGCGGCAGTGGCCCGGATGTCGGTGTGCCTGCACAGGCCTGAAGCCATACAGGCAGCCCGGATTGGAATCGCTGGTTGACCTGGACTTGCCCGCTGTGCTGTGATCCCAGCTGGCTGTGAGGCTTGGGGGAAGACAGCATCCTGGAGGGTCCCCATCAAGGTACCCCTCTTCTCCTGCCCCCGTCTCTCAGAAGGGAGAAAGGGAGGGAGAAAGAAGGAACAAGCAAACTTTTGTTGAGAGATTTTTGTTACAAGGCATATGCACTCGCTGGAGAGAGAGAGAGAGAGAGAGAGACAGAAAGTGAGAGATCACCCCCCCGGGGAGATGGGCACGCCACAATCTCTTCTCCTTCATCCTCCTCTCGGGACTTTGGGCGCACATGCACACACATACCCCATGACAGTCATACAATAATAATAATAATACAAATCAGTCATTTCAAAAGATAAAACCACAAAATATACAAACTGTGGGCTAGAAGTGACATTAATTTTTATCCCCAAAAATCTGCTAAAAATGCAGTCGAGCAGGGTACATATTTACTAACGATCTCTTTTTAAAAGTATATTTATTCCGCATAAGAGGGAGGAGGGGTCCTTGACGGAGTTGTGCCCTGCCGTGCCCCTCCCTGCAGCCTTCGAGTCGTGTTCAGGCTGACTACGGACCCCAACCCCGGGCGCTCCCAAGGTCCCCAGGCTGTGTCACCCAGCAGCACCTGGCCACCTGCACCCCTGCTGAGCCAAACGTATCAGCTCTGAGCTTAACACAATACGAACATGTACAGAGCCCTTATTATGATCTGGACCCTGCTCTAAGAGGTATACACGTATTCTCTTGTTTAATACCCACAACTCTGTGCGGTAAAGAGAATTATCATTCTCAATTTACAAACGCTGAACTGAAGAACAGGGGTTAAGTAATTTGCCCAAGGTCCAATAGAACTAGTAAATGGTAGAGTTATTTAATTAACTTGAAACTTCATACAGATTATTAAAGAATGATTACATTTACATAAATATGCTAACGGAAATACCTTTAAAATGACACAGATATATTCACATTAACCATGATTTAAAAGCGTCAATTTTGTGCATGTGGGTTTACTCACAGATCCACTTATTGATTTTACCTCACTTAAACTGAATCTTACTTGAGAAAAAAACTTGGTTAATAACAATAAAGGAAAAGAAACAAGAGGAGTGTTTCTTTGTTTAACAAAATGATTGGTCATTTTATAATAGAACTCGTTTGAGGTGCCTTTAAACAGCAAGCTCCCCAATGTCTTTGGTCCCATAAAAACTAAACTAGCGGTTTTGAACAACACATCTGTGACGGGAGGGGCACAGCCATACATGAGAAGTGGGGCAAGAGCTGAGATCATTGATTCTTGGACATGAAATCAACCAGGCGAGGGTCACGGTTTCTCTCAGGACATTAACACACGTGGAAAATTCTTCTTTCGAGATTTACGGTAGAGAAGAAGACCAAGACCAAGTCATAAAATGAAAGTTAGTAATTAAGTTCCTATTTATATTTCTCTGGTTAATTCTTGCAATTCTGAGTGGAACAGGTTTTTATTTCCTTAAATAAGCTCATACAGGGAACCAGCAGTTAGCATAATGGCTATGTCACTGGACTCCCACGTAGTTGACCGCGGTTCACATCCTGGACCCGGTGGCTTAAAACTCATGCCGGGCGCGTGTGCGTGCGTGCCCAAGATCCCGAGAGGAGAATGGAGGAGAAGGGATTGCGGCATGACCATCTTCCCTGGGGGGTGATTTCTCGCTTTCTGTCTCTCTGTCTCTCTCTGTCTGGCGAGCGCACGCGCCCTATAGCGAAAATCTCTCAAAAAAATAAATAAGCTTGTACATGCGTGTTACTGGACATGGACTTGCCTTTTGTAAGTGCACTCACGTCTGACGAATCTGCCACTGCTGCAGACGGCATGCCTCACTGCTCTGGGGTGTGCAGTCCAGGTCCAGGCGGTCCTCACAGGCAGGAGGGCATTGCTATGCAAGGCTGGCCTACCTGGGGGGCCTGGGCTGGGGTCCCAGACTGCCCTGAACAGGTGGGCACAGAGGCACATGCATGTAATCCCAGCTAACTGGGAGGTTAGGGCGAGGCTCACGACGGGAAACCCTGTCCAACATACCCCTCTGTCCTTGTCTCCCCTGCATGGCTCTCTCTCAACTATCTATCATCTATCTATACTTATATGCATATAAATATATACATGATACATACATACATACATATGTATGTAAAGAATGTGTCCCTTTCATTTATATGTCTATATTAATATATCCATGTACATATACATGTAAAAGTATGATACATACACATATTATGTATACATTTATATATCATATTTATATAACATATACATACACATATAAATAAAAGTATGGTATCTTACTGTAGCTACCCTAAACTGTAAGAAAAATAGTGTCGAGGTCTTCACATCTGCTAACTATTCTTCCTCTTAGCAGATGCTAGCTGTGTTACCTTTTTAAAGTTCATGTATTTCTTCCATGAGAGATGGAGACAGAGAGACAGAGACAGAGAGAATGTCTAGCAGGGTTTGGACACCATGCTTACCTCCCCCAGCCCCAGAGCACGAGCACGAACCCTCCCCCCACTACCATGTCCTCAGGGAGGTCCCAGCCATGAACCTGGAACCTTCCTACATGGTCAACCTTGCAGAACACCGTGCTGCACCCGGCACGGCCATGTGGCCCGAGTGTGTCACTTCTCACTGGCGTGGGTAAGTGACACGGCTGTGCTGCATGGTGAGCAGCGAATGGGACCAGCTTTACGGTGTGGCTGACAAGCGCAGGGCCTCGTTCCCTCATCGCCTGGCTTCCCACACAGGGCGTCATCACGTGGAGAGAAATGGAAACAGTTGATCAGTGCTAAAGATCACGCGGGTGAGGTCCTCATAAAGATCTTTGGTCTCAGTTGTCTCGGGGGCTATGACAGTATTTGCACACAGAAGGCGTTTAGTAACTGCTCAGTTGTTGAAAAACACTCAGACACCGTTTGCTTTCTACGTCCTGCAGAGGTGCGTCAACTGGTCACTCTGACCCAGAACACATAGATGTACCTGAGCAAGAGTCGGCTAAAGTGAGTCAAATAGGCCAATGTCTTTGCACAGGAAGAACCAGAAAGGGATGGCAGGTTTAAAAAGAAGCTGCTTACCTTACAAACAGAAAGCACGTTAATAGTTATTAGTTTCTTGATGGCCTGCAAAAAAAAAAATATTGATAACTTTATATAGATTTGATCACGGAAGTAACCATATCAGATTTATATACTTAAGTAATCAGAGACACAGTGATGGAAATTAGGGTTGAGAGACAGATGTTGCTTTATGCTCAGTTACAGGATTTTTCTAACAAAAGCAACAATGTATACTAACATGCAAAACTCAAGGTATACATGTTAAGTAAAATCTGGAACCAAAAAGACACATGAGGTCTGAAATAAAGAGAACACTTTGCAATTTCCTCTGTGCTGATATGGAATAGAGATGACTGAATCTAAGATTTTCGATACATTTTTAAAATGTACATAGTCCTTCAACAACACGTTTTTCCAGTTTTTATTAAAGAATTATGTATTAGAGACGTAGCTTACATTGTGGTAGAGCTGGTTTACCTGAATCGACGATATTGTTATATATTAAAATAATTATTGGGGGACCAGCAGTTGGCATAATGGCTGTTGCTGGATTCCCATGCAGTCGACCGTGGTTCAAGTCCCAGACCCGATGGCTTAAACCCAGAACCTCCAGGTGTGTGTGCGTGCGTGCCCAAGATCCAGAGAGGAGAATGGAGGAGAAGGGATTGTGGTGTAGCCATCCCTCCGGGGAGTGATTTCTCACTTTCTGTCTCTGTCTTTCTGGCAAGTGCACATGCCCTACAGCAAAACCTCTCCCCGTCAAAAAATTATTGATTTAAAAAAACATATTTGCCACAGGGTGTATGCATTTACCAGGGAGAAATAGAGAAAGAGAGAAAGCGTTGCCCGAGGGAGATGGTCATGTCACAATTCATTCACCTGTTGGGATTTTTGGGCACACATGCAAAACTACCTGGTATGGTTTTAAAGCTGCCGGGTCCAAGCCTCAAACCATCAAGTCTACCACATAGGATTCAGCCATCTTCACCATAAACAGGCTAGGCCAAAACTGACTTTTTACTTTTTTATTTATTATTATAATTTAAAAATTACTTCTTTATTTAATTTTGTCACTATTATGTATTATTTTTCATTTGACCATAAAGACACAGAGAGGGCAAGAAGGGGAAAGTGAGAAAACAATCTGCCAGGTCCAGGGCTTGAACTTCAGACAGCCCAGTGAGAGCCCAGCACCTTAACCACCATGGCACCTGGCAGCTCCCTGAAATTGATTTTTATACAGAGTTGTTTTGATATAATAAAAATAAGAATAATAAAACTGGAACTATTACTGAGCACAGCACTACGTAAGTTAGGCTATAAATATTTCTCACTCACTCGTTGGACACACCTGTGAAGGTGCTATTTTATGGGCCAAAGCACCGAGCTAAGTATGCATTGGATTATTCCCAGGGTACCTCAGGTAGTAAGGAAAAAAGCCCAGCTTAGAGCTCAGCAGTTGGCCTCTAGGGCTTATAGCCTGTGTCATTATGCCCTGATATCTTGCAAACATTTGCACAGTGTGTTTGGTTCGAGTCCCAAGCCTGGCGGCTTGCTTTCTCACTTCTCCCCATCTCTGTCTTTCTCTGGTGAATGCCTATAGCAAATTTTTAAAAATTAGTAATAATAATAAATTAGATAAATAATTCTTTAAAAAATATATACAAAGAGAAGCTTACACTGTCCAAGTCCGGAATATCCAAAAAGTTTTCAGGATACTCGTATGACACCCCCACGTTGTTCACTGAAATAAGATCAGATCATTAGCTAATACACATTTAAGGATTTCTTAAAATTGTGAGATTAAAGATACTAAGACTACAATTACATACAGTTACATACGATGATTGTTTATAGCTGGAAACTGTCCCCACACCTGTCTATCCAAAAGCTACCCATCCTCCACTTTGGATATCTTTTCACGAAGCCTTTCACACCCACCATTCACCCCCTGCCCAAAGGACTCATGGCTTCTTGGGACAGGGCGCTCTGCCTCTGTACTATCATGACGGGCAGGTACTCTTAAACTCTTCTCCGGATCTTGCATTTTCAGGAAGAGTAGTGAGCACTGCGAACTGGGAGACCAGACGTTTTGAGCTCTAGTTTCAGAAACGAGCGACCCGGAGTAAGTCACATCTATGCATCTCTGTCTGCTCATCTCTAAAATGAGGGCGCACTCAGTCACTCAGCAGATACTTGCCACGTGCCTCTGGGCAATACGTGTGCCAAGAACTAGAAAAAGCAGAACGAACCAGACCGTTTTGGTATCGTGGAGCATAACATGAGTGGGAAGAACAGCAGGGACCAGACCCTGACTTCATAACAAAGTGCCGAGCGCCATGGGCGCTATTCTAGAAAGTGAAGAAAGGCTTCTTCCTGGTGGCCAAGGAAGTGGGTCTGACTTAACATCTCCGATAAACCATTCACCGAAAGTCAACGACATGTCTTAGTTTCCGTTGCAATCTCCTCCCCAGTTACTTGACCTAAGTTTATAGGGCTTTAAGGTAATCGAGAATATATGAATAAATTCCTATGTCATTAGGCACGTGACTTTAACACTCAGCTATTCGATAGTTTTCCCTATCCCTGAAAAGATAAAGACAAACCCAGTGAAGGCGACATTCGCAGCAATCGAAAAATAAGAGAAACGCCAAGGATTTGATTTTAGTGAAGTAAATAACACATGGAATGGGTTATGCACCTATTCACCCATCTCCATCTAATCATCGTAGTCCCTTTTAGGGAGTTCCCATCTGAGGTAGTCCCTATTACCATCTCCCTTTCACATTTTAGGAAACCGAGGTTCGCACTAGCTAAATAACGTGCCCATGGGACCGAGTGCTGGGATTCGAACTCGGGGAGGCGACCTCCGAGGCTAGGCTCTTCACCACCATGTTAAAGCCGTCACATGCCTGAATCCAGTATTCAGTCTAGGAAAAAAAATCAATAATAATTGGATAATAAGCAGGAATCTGATAGCCACGTTTAATAAAAGTGTGAGGTATTAGAAAAGAGGTTTCAGGTGCAAAAAGATAAGGGAATTATGATCAGTCCGGTAATATATGATGTACGTAATGAATTCTGCCAGATAAACCCTGGTAGTAGGGACAGCAACTTTGTTAATGGCTAACAAAATCAGTAGTTCAAAGGAATTCAGTAAGGACTCTAAATTTAGCTGTCAGCCAGTCTCGTGAATCTGTGAGTCTCAAGATTTTACTCCAAACTTGGTGCGGATGACTTGAATGAGACAGCCGAAACATGCCTGGAAATGGGTAAGTGAAAGACAATGGCCAAGTAGCCTGTATTTACCTGGGGTTTATGAACGGCGGGATAAGGGCCATATCTAAACATAAATAACAAGTTACCAATTGCTTTTTATTTTACTTAAAGTTTCTCTGCCCACCAGGGGTCCTAGGAATCGATTCTATGGAAGATCTGTGGGGATTAAGCCCAATCTAGTTAGAGGTAAGGCTTTATGGGCTCTTTTGACTTGGATTTAGCTGCTACAGAATTATAAAGGAGAAATCATTTACGTGACTAAAGAAATGGCAACCCCCAGGCTATCTGTTCATGTGCTACACAGAAACAAAATACTCTTCACAAAGTCACTTTCAGGTAACAGAACCTTTCAAGGGAACGTTTTGCCAAGTGACAATACCCTGCAGAATTTCTTAATTTCATCATGTACAGATAGCAAACATCTCTCTCTCCACTCATTGTCGTTATTTATTTGAAGCTAAACAGAGAGAGACAGAGAGAAGAAAAGTGAGAAAGCAAGCCACCAGGTCGGGACGCACACTGCAGTCAGCCATGTGGGAATCTAGCTGCCTTGACCACCACCCTACCTGCCGGCCCCCATAACTCCACATTCCTTTCTAGCCCACAGAAGTATTCACGCTGGGGCCAGCAGGTGGTGTGGTGGTGAAGATACTGGATTCCCATGTGGGTGACCATGGTTTGAGTCCTGGGCCTGAAGGTTTGCTTTCTCACTTTCCCTCTCCTTCTGTCTTTCTCGAGAGCGCACATGCCCTGTAGGAAATGAAATAATAATAATAATAATAATAAAATTAAACAATTATTTAAAAAAGAAGTATTCATGCTGGAGAAAATGGAACAGTATAATTACAAATCTGTTATAATCCAGATTTTTTTTCCCAAATCTGGAAACTCTGCAAGAGCACAGCTGACTTTGAGATCTTAACATATATTACAAGTACAAAGTGGAGCTAAGGAAGCCCACAAACGACTAAGCAAGCAGGAAGGTGCTACGCCCCTTGAGGCACTATTGACAAGAGACCGTCTTCAGATTGCCTTGCTAACTGAGGAAAGGTCTCAGAGCTTTCTCCTCACACAGGAGAAACGTGAACGTCTAGTCAACACGCCTCTGTAAGAATCCATGTGTGACGCTGAGAATTTCAGCCCAGAGAAATGAATAGCACCATTACAGGACTATACTTCTATAATCAAAAGTACCCAGGAGGCCAGATGGTGGCATAGTGATGAAAGCGCTGGACTCCCACATGGCTGACCGAGGATCAAGTCCCAGACCCAACGGCCTGACACTTACACTGGGCGTGTATGTGTGTGTGTGTGTGCACGCGCGTGCCCCAAATCCTGAGAGAATGGAAAAAGGATTGCAGCGTGACCAACCCCCCGCCCCTGGGGGGTGTGATTTCTCACCTTCCCTCTCTCTCCAGGGAGCAACCTCTCCCACCCTCCAAAAGAACAGTTAAAGCTGGAACAGGCTTTTCCGAAGCATTGAGCCAATTTGATGAGGGGAAGAATATGTCAAGGTCACCCTGCAGTTTATCCTATACTAGGGATTAGGACTCTTATCCCTTTCTGTGTTATTAGTTCTGCCTTTATCTGAGGAATATATGCTACCCATAATCTCACCTTGAGACGTAATCCCTTCAGAGTACTGCTATTTAAGAGTACAGAGAAAAACAACTGTTGCTCTGTTATTTCCCGACCCTGCAGAACTGCAGTTCTTCCCGAAAGGCAAACCCGCTGCAATTTTATTTTGAGACACTAGGTGGCAGCAGCAACCAAACAGCGGGCAGAAAGCTTTGCAGGATTGCAAAAGGGAGAAAACAGGTTTTGGGTAGGAGTGAGGGATGGAAATATTCTCATTATAATTTGATCTCGTCAAGAATGGGTACATGCAATGCCCTCTCTCTCTATTACAGGGTTTATTACAGGATTCTCCCAACCAAACAAGACCACAAATTGTTGGAACATTATTCAGACAATTGAAAATTCCATCTAAAATGTTACTGTCTTAAATTGGCATTAAATATATTTATTAGTGAGTTTTCTTGAATTCTTCAAGTGAGTCACCAGAGAGAGAGTTACGATTTTTTCAGTGACCCATAGAACCCTTGTACTTGAATAACAGTCTTTCAGAAAATAAAAGAATCCCATTACTCTCAAATTCCCACCACGAGTCTGTCCCAGTCATTACAAGGACCTCGGGCAGTAGTGAAATCTTCCACGAGTTTCTCCCTGAGGTTCTCAGTCTGGGAAGAGGTCCGCAGACAAGAAGAGGCAGACAGAGTGCAGAGGACAGACCAAGGAGAAGGGCCAGAGGAGTGGACAGAGAAGGTGACAGCAGGGGAAGGAGGGACCCACAGAGCGGAAGGGAAGAGCTGACTGTGACCTGCACTAGACCTTTAGCCAACCCTAACTGAGAGACGGCATGATGGGTAAGGGAGATTCCCGGTTTAAGTCCCGGACCTGGTGGCTTGAAAATCATGCTGGGCACGTCTGTGTACACGTATGCATGTGCATGCCCAAGATCCCCCCAGAGGAGTATGGAGGAGAAGGGATTGTGGCATGACTATCTCCCCCCGCCCCGTGGTGGAGGTGACTTCTCATTGTCCCTCTCTTTGAGGGACAGGTAAGGAGCTCTGCACTGAAAGCCAGGTCCTACATGGTCAATTCAGTTCAAGCCCAGGCCTTGGCAGCTTGAAAGGCATGCCGTGCCGGGCAAGTGTGTGTAGAGGTCCAGAATCTTGACAGAGAGACAAAGGATTATGGCATGACCACACCACCTTGACAGATACTTTCTCTGTCTCTGTCTCTCTTTCTCATGAGTGTATGTGCCCTCTAGCAACAAATTGTTAAAAGCAAAACAAAATAAAATATTAATATCAATAAGTTGCACTCAAAAAAAAAAACCCAGTTACTCTCAATATCATATAAATATTCTAAATTATGTCATACTTTTTTTTTTTTGAGAGGTTTTTGCTATAGGGCGCGTGCACTCACCAGAGAGATAGAGAGACAGAGAGACAGAAAGCGAGAAATCACCCCCTAGGGGGGATGGCCATGCCGAAGTCCCTTCTCTTGCGATCTTGGGTACGCATGCACATGCGCCCGGTGTGAGTTTAAGCCACCAAGTCCAGGACTTGAGCCGTAGTCAACTACATGGGAGTCCAGAGACATAGCCCTTATGCTAACTGTTGGTTCCCATATTTACTTTTTAAAAAATTATTTAATTTTGTTATTATTAAATTTGTTACAGGGCATGTGAGCTCACCAGAGAGAAACAGAGCGAAGGAGAGAGAGACAGAAAGATAACAAGGCACCAGATCTGGGACTCAAACTGTGGTAGGCCATATGGGAGTCCAGTGCCCTAAACACCATGTCACCTACTGGTCCCTCATGCTTACTTTTTTTATTATTATTATTATTATTTTTTAATGCATTGGGCATCAACCTCAATGCAATCATTTTTTTCTT